CTGTGAGAAAAACTTTCAAATACTTTTGAAAATGTGCATCTATTTGTATGATTTCCTGAACTATTAAATTATCGAGTGACTCATGCAATGAATCACAAAGAAAGAGATAGATGCTCAGAATGACTCACGTCTTTAGAGAATTAATTTACCTTTTCCATTCCACCTCACTGAAAATCCACCAGAATGCTGCAAGCATCAAGCTATCAGTCGCTCATAATGATCAAGTTATGTACCCTATGCATAATTTGTAAGGACTAATAAAGTTAGGTTTCATTCCCAAACAAAAACGTGGATATATTTTGGAGGGTGGGGGGGTGTGGGGGGGAGTTCAAAGTAAAAAAAAAATTCTGACAATACAGGAGAAAAAAATCAAGGCTGGTAAAATTTAACACAAAAAAGATGAACTCAATGAAAATCAGGATTTAATTTGTTCAATGTGATCCATGTGGATTCCTGGAACCGGTTTACTTGGACTATACTTCAGCGCTCTGAGATGCTACCTACCCCACATGAAGAGCACTATATAAAGTTGTTATTGTTGATAATACATTAACACGTATTCCCATTGTGCAGCAAGTTGAATCTCGGAATCTGTTCTCACCGTCACAGGTGCCAGAAAAGTGGGTTTTACATATTAAATTGAGGTGAAAATCTGAATAAAATTATGATTTTTTTTATCAGTGACACTCGGCAAACAAAACTTCTTTACTGGTCCTTAATAATTTGAGACAAAATTCTGAACAAAATACTTGTAAATGAACAATGAACGGACAGTAAGAATAACAACAAGGTAATTCAGCGCTTCCACGAATAATGATAATTTAACAAAATCAGAAGTCCATCTTAAAATATTTATAAACACACAAGCAGAATACTGAAAATATTCAACTGAAGTACAAAAGAATGCTTTGCTATAAATAATAATAACCCTTGCATTTGATAACGCCTTATCACATTGTTGAGATGTCTCAAAATGCTTCACAAAATATATTATAAAGTGAATTGACTGTATTTTGTGGGGGAAACACAGCAGCCAATTGTGCACAGCAGTGTCCTACAAACAGTGATTGAGTGACAAAATTATACATTTTTTCTGGAGGAGGAATTATTACCCCCAGAAAGTGATCTGCCAATCAACTAACGACCGGGTTCCTACTTACTGTTAGGTAAACAGAGACTTGTGGAGTAAGAAAATGTGCCTAAGATTTTGCCCCGATTTCTTTTGCTTGCATTTTCATCAACAGATTTACAAAAAAACATACTGTATTGACATTTCTGAAACTATGTAATTGTTGGCCTTATATGTGTTGTCATATTACATGTAATAAACATTTTCAAGATCTTATTCCCCACTATCAGGCGCTTTCCACAGACCACTAACAATTCATGCTCTCAATTGCACTACATTGTTAGTAATTTATACAACAAACTGCTGAACTACATCACCCCAGCTTTAGTTCTGTTGTGCTCTGTTTTTCTATGTGTTAAAATGCCTTTGGCAAGCTTTTATGTTTACGAAGATAAGTAACTGTCCAACTGGTATCTTAAAAAGCGGATGAGGAAAAATATATCTGTGCTGCAACTACTGCTGGTAATGAAGTTTTGACACTATAATAAAAAAACATTTCACAACACACTGAACATTGCAAATGTTTCCAGAAGGATTACAATGCATTATATATACATATCAAATGGACATCTCTCACTTATACAATATATGCCATTGGGCTAGTTAATTTAAAAACACAAAAATGTGTCAACAGGCAAGTTTACACCTCTTATTAAAATCCATCTGCTATAAAACAATATAAATCATATCTAACATTTCTTTAACTACTTTAACTAAGTTAATATTATCCATTTCTTGTAGATTTATTAAACAAACATGTGCAAATTAAATCCTGAATTTTGAACATGACGAAGTAAGAAAACATTGGAGTTGATACTTACAGTTAGTTACATGACAACGACATATTACAAAAACAAACAAGAAATTAAAATGATTTTCTATGTAACGCTATTAAATTGATTTGAGTTAGTAACGATTTGACTATCTTGAGCCACTGCCTGCAGCTTTGACAATGAAGAGACAGTTTATAAAGCCAAATAATTCACAGCTGCTATGTGTGCCCATCACAAACCTTTCTCAAGTGCTGTATAAGCCATCTAAAAATGATGCCTTTAGGGCAGATCTTACTGAGAAATGGAATGCCTCCTGAGGAACAAAACGTCAAAGAGATAAACTTGTGTTTAAAAGGCATTTAAGTGAGGCATTTGATTCTAATCTGATTGACAGACAAGTCAATCATCTATGTGATGAAGTTATTATCTGCTAATCTTCAAATTACTGATGGTAAACAGCTCAAAAACTGCTTGTGATGTTTGCCCTGTTATATACAGACAGATGTATAATAATAAACAAAATCAATATACTACCATGCATTGAAAGCTTCGAATTGCAAATTCTTTCTGCAAAATAATTGAATCGTATCGCTTCAAAGCATTCAATCATACAACAATACTGCCAGAATATTTAAAGAACTGTTTTCTTCTACTATTGTGCTGCTAAGCTGATTGCTTCCAGAAAGAGCGTTGTATAGGGGGAGGGTGAATAACTGAAAACATAAGTAAATTGTTACTGACTGCAAAATAGAAAGCCCTTGAAAACGAATTTTAAGAATGTGTTGTGTTATTTTGAAAACACATTTTTAAAATATTTTTGGAAATAACACAACTGTTTTTGCAACTGTCAATTCGTGACAAACTGCATATATAGTATGGAGAATGGCGTATATGGTTATCTAACACTATTCCTTCCATTTCTAATGATATGGGATAAAACCTCACACCTCAATACTTTCACATAAACAAGCCCTTTTGCTGCACTGTTAATTTACAGATGACATTTTAAACAAAGTTCCCAAGGAAAACAAAGTGAAATGTAGCTGCAGAATTATTTGGCAAAGGCAGGGGAAATGTATCATCCAACTAGTAAAGCAAACTGGGTTATAATCCCCTCACTTCAAACATTCAACACATCAAATCACAAACTGTTTTTGCTTTGATTATTTCGAATGCATAACATTTGCAAACTGTATTCCTAACCAGGAACGTAGGAAAACAGGAACAGCAAGAAAACATTCAGCCCACTGAGCTGACCCACTAAACACTAAGAACACTGTAACAGCTGCTAATATTATTAATTACTGCACAACATATCTTCACAGTAGTATTGTGTTGTTACCAAGTCACCAGTATGCTTGTATCCCATTAAACACAAATACACCCTCTATACGATGTCTTGTTTATACTCAAATAAAAAGATAGTCAGCACTGTGGCTCAATTTACTGAACAATGTCATTTGCTTTAATTGCATGACAAAGTGCATTTTGAACAACACTATCAATTCCTCTTGAAACCTGGATTTCGTTCTTTTTTAATGATATTTTTTTTTGCCTGGAAAATCCCAGTTGGATGGGATTTGCATGCATTTGCAGTCCTGTGTTGAGCAGCGCCCCCCAGTCGTCAGTCACTTGTATATTTCAGTTCGTTCCTAATGCCCCCAAACTATCTGATGTGCTTTCTCCATAATCTTCAAGAACGCCTTAATTGATCTGCTGCGTTTAAAGTTAATAAGCTATTAAAATGAATTAAAAACACATGCTAATTTTTTTTAAAAAAGAAAAGGGGGGGCGCTGTGAGTCACATCTCCCCAACACTTTAACGCAAGACATCAGCATTAACCTTCAGACTGGAGAAATAATTGCTCTCAATGGCTTAATCGTGGTGCTGATGTTTACCGGTTACATTGCACACGTTGCACAAAGCACCAGTGATCTCCAGAAGCTCTCTCTATCTCTCTATCTCGTTGTCTCTTATCTCTGCAAAGTATTTCACTTGACCCAGGAAAGGTCGCGTCCAGATTTAACCCTGATATAAGGTAGGAATGTAAAAGGGGGGGTTAACCCCCCCCCCCACCCACCCCCAGTCACTCTCAAGAACAGGTCTCTGAGATTGTCAGCATCATTTAAAGACTGACCCTCTTAAACTTCACAATAAGGTCATTGCAATTAAGATCCTTCCTTCCCTTGTATAGACCATCTCTTAGTCACATAGTTGGACTGGAAAATGGGAGAGGGATAAGAAAAAAATAAAACAAATACTGCACAGGGGTGGGTGGCTTTCCCTGTCCTTCTGTGTTTCCCATCCAGTAAAAGCTAAGTCTGATTCTGGTCTCCTCACTGCCAGCAATGCTCTCACCTCAAAGTAGCCCCAAAGTGAACACTGAATTCCAGTGCAAACAGAAAACAGTTATTTGCATTAAGATGCCCTGATAATAATAATGCTACTACTAATAATAATACTACTACTACTACTAATAATAATCCTTGCATTTGATATAGCGCTTTTCACGTCGGGAGGACGTCCCAAAGCGCTTCACAGAACACACTGTAATGTCTATCGATGATCCCACCTCACAAAATACAGGGACTAACACTGGCACAGCAGCAACATTCACCGTGTGCTGCTGCCTGCCTCCCTCCCTGCCTGCTGCCTCCCTCCCTGCCTGCCTGCCTCCCTCCCTGCCTGCTGCCTGCCTTTGCCTCCCTGCCTGCTGCCTCCCTCCCTGCCTGCCTTTGCCTCCCTGCCTGCTGCCTCCCTCCCTGCCTGCTGCCTCCCTCCCTGCCTGCTGCCTCCCTCCCTGCCTGCTGCCTCCCTCCCTGCCTGCTGCCTGCCTGCCTGCCTCCCTCCCTCCCTGCCTGCTGCCTGCCTGCCTCCCTCCCTGCCTGCTGCCTCCCTCCCTCCCTGCCTGCTGCCTGCCTGCCTGCTGCCTCCCTCCCTGCCTGCTGCCTCCCTCCCTGCCTGCTGCCTGCCTGCTGCCCGGGGCTGTGAGCAGATTGCACGGTCCAGCAGGACAGTGGTTGCAAGGGAAAGGGAAAGGGACCCGGCGGGTCAAGCCATCTCCCCCCTAAACAGACATGAACCACACAGCACTTACCCGGCGAACTGTCCAGTTATCCAACAGCATCTATGAGGACGGCGGCGAGAGCCCGACCTGCAGAGGGAAAAAGTTAGCGCAGAGTTTGCAGCAGTTGCGCTGTGTGAGCCTCCGCTCCTCTCTCTCTCTCTCTCTCTGTGTGTGTGTGTGTGTGTGTGCACTTCACTGACACACTCCCCCTCTCCTCTCTCTCCCTCTCTCTCTCTCTCTCCTGTCAGTCTCCCTGTGTTTGTGGGAGGGAGGGAGGGAGGGAGGGCGCTGCACGGTTGCAGTGGTACAGTCACGGCGGAGGGACGGCTGCACTCTCGCAGCAATCACACTCGCACTGTCACAGCAAACACGCGCCGCTCGCAGGTACCACCAGAGCAACACACCGCTTCGCTACTGCCCCCCGAATAAAGCTCACCTCGTGAGATTGCACCGAGGCTCACAGCTGCACACAACTTGCCCCACACACTCACTTCTCCCCACTGCCAAACTTGGGAATGTCCCCTGTTAGCACAGCTTTGGCACATTCCGGCACAGTTTGCAGTCGCTGAGACGTGGCATAACTCAACCAACTCAGCGCACTTTATCTACAGGTACACACCGAGTGACTTAAATAACGTGCATCAAAAGTATGAAACCCATTGCATATCTCTTTTAAATGTGTTTTTATCAACTTCTTTTGCCTGCAGGTAGTTGAACCGTCAGCTTATTCGTCAATATCAGTTCTGTCCTCTCCTGGAACATCTGGAAGGCTTTATTCAGCACAAGTTAAACTTTTCACTTACATTTCTTCGCGTGTTTCATTTTCAGATAGTCCATCAACGATTATTTGTGCGAGATGTTATTCTAATCATTGCACTGAATATTTTTTACACGGCTGTATTTCCATTGGCATTAAAATATCAATTTCTAAAACAATAATTAGAACCAGATGATGTGCTCCAAAGCTTTTTGAACATTTTACAAACGCTTTTATTCTAACATATTTCAATATAACGTTTCTCTCTGTAGCTAACTTTCTCGTTCTAAATCTTTTACCTCTATTATATTTTTACAAACGACACCCTTTTCAATAAACTCTAGAAATGCTGATCATGTTGTATTCTTCTGGTTCTGAATTTGTTTTTACCTTTCAAAAATCTTTTCAAGCACTTGCAAACTATTTTCCCCCTAAACGTTACACAAGCTCAATTTTATTTCTGAACTTTTCCTTGTATGAATTTGTGCTGTACATTTAAATCCTTTTGTTGGATGCCAAATGAGTACGTTTTCCTTTTTATTTTCCAATTCAGAAAACTAGTTGAGCTAACAAGTGAGCTTACATTTTACAACATCCAGCAAATTTGCATCAGATACTAGAATACGACTTTAATTCTTGCTAAACCAACAAATTTGCTTGAGTGGCTGATTTTTGGTGATAATTTAACTTTTTTTGTTTTATGTGGCTTCCTCTCCAGGCCACTAAGGACCCAAAAATGGGTGCAATGCGCAGATCACCCACCACCGTGACACTGACTCCAAAGCATTTGCCTTTAGTAAGCTCTTTACAAACATAAATTCAGTTGGCATTATAAAAATATTAATAATAATCCTTGCATAATCCTTGCTATAGTGCCTTTCACTATGAGAAAGCGCCACATGGGATATACTGTAAAATGTTGTGACTCCATGCGTTCGGTCACTTTTTAAAAAAATAACTGAGGATCTTTTTTAGATGCAATACAGCTGGTTGAGTTTGTTGACTCACTTTTATATTTGCTGTTTTTTGATCAGCCAGATGTCTAACATATGAGGGAACCCATCCCCATGCTTAAGAGTATCCAAACTAAGCTGAGAATTCCATGCATCCCACCAAACACATGAAAATCCCAGAGATAAATTGTTGGAATGGAATGTACACTCTCTCCCTGGATGGACTTATCCTGCTTACCTAATTCTGGAAAGGATTTGACACAGGTTGGCAAGAGCCAAGGCTTGGGGATCCCAGAGTTTGCGTTGGGGTAACTGCTGGAGTCTAACCAGCTGTATAGTTTGCTATTGAGCGCATGCCTGGCAAGCTTTCCCACTGCTTGTCCTGCTAGGATCACCCTACCCATTAGGGCTTTAGCTTGCAGGGTTAACGGGAGCTGAGTGAGAACAACCCTGACCGGTCTGCTCTTCCAAGTTCTGCCGATGAGCCAGGCTGGCTGGGCTGTCATCAGTAGTGCCCTGGAATACTGCGGACCTGCCTGGCTCAGGAACTGGATAACAGAGACCACCACAGAGTGTGGGCTTGATTCTGATATTCCATTGCCAAACATGTCACCTTGGAGTCAGTTCCTGGAGGTGGTCCTAGGTGTACAAATAGTGGGATGGTTGCCAGATAGTGCTCTCAATGGGAAGCTCGGTGGTTTTAGCTGTTGGAACACCTGCGGTACCCCAATGCACACTCTCTAAGAGTTCACATTCCTTGGCTCACTGATCTATGCCAAATACACTCTGGAAGTAGGTAAGCAGGATGTGTTTCTCCAGAGGGAGATAGTATACATTCTATTCCATAGGTGGCATTCATATGTGAAATTCTCAGTTTGGTTTAGGTACTCTTGACACGCTGATGGAGTTCCGCATGTGTCAGATACCCAGCTGATCAAATATCTTGACAATCCTTCTATCTCAGTCTCTGTCTCTCTCTCTCTCTCTCTCTCTGCCATGCAATCTCTAATAATAAAAATAATAATAATATTATTATTTTATTATTAATCTCTCTTTCTCTGTCAAACTTTTTTGTCTCTTTCTGTGGTTTCCTCTATCTTCAAGTCTCTGCTGTACAAAGTATCAAAGGGTTATTGTTGAGCTTTAGTACAAATTCAATCATACACCACTGAAAACAATTGCTTAATTTAGATTTGTTTTAGATAAAATTCAGGAGAAAATCCACCAAAAAGGGTATTTATCTATGAAAATCAATTAAAATGATTTAGTGGTCTTTATAGGGAATAATGAAGGCATTCTCAGCACCAAGTTATAATTTCCTTCAGAGTAGAAATAAATATACTAATTTATTAACTCTCTGGAAAGACTATTTTTTGTACTTTCTTACAATGCATCAGGAAGCCACCAGTCTGCACCAGTCTATATAATTACATGAATATATAACATCACGATAAAACCTAGCCACCATTTTGCAATCTTAAATAACGAGACAAAATGGTTTTTCAGGCTAAGTTTATGGTACTGATCCTGTTCATCGTGTTCAGGTCTCAGACACCTACAATGCAGGACCTGAACAGACATGATTTCCCTTCTATCTTTTCATAAGTCTGTTTAGCTGAGGAGAGGCAATGGCTATAAGTCATGTTCAGCACAGTGACATTGGATGTGAAAAACATCGAGATTTGGAATACAATATAAATGACATGGACTCATTGAAATAAATATCCTTCCTGAGGTAAGAATTACCTAATCCAGAAAGCACAGCCTTTGTCATGTGATTGCACTATGAGAATAGCTAAACAATAATAATAACAACCACTTGCATTTATATAGTGCCCCTCAAACAGAGTAGCATCCCAGAGCACTAGACAATGGTGGAGGACGAGGCTGAGCCAGGAGGAGGGGGGAAATTGACCGTAGACACGGTCCAAGAGGAAGGTTTTCATGTGCGACCTGAAGATGAGGAATGATGGGATTGAGGGAGAATGTTCCAGAGTTTTGGGGCTTTACCCAATGCGCTTTTCATTTTAGGAGCGGAACCGCTGGGCTCCAGATGAAACAACTGTACGGATGTGGTGAAGGCCTGCAACTTAAACGATAATGGCCAAAAATTCCAAACAATAAATACAGATTATTTGTAGAATTAACACTATACACTACAACATGTGTCTATGCATTACATAACAAATTAAATAAGTAGGTTCTGAGGAACAACTGTAGAAAATAAAAAGTTTTTTCCCTACTGAAAACTCCCATTAAAATGTTAAAATAATGATATCTGTGGTAAGATTACACAAAAAATTCACATTAAACCTGCAAATTAGAGTTAGTGTTAAATTGTAAACTTTCACCTGTGTCGAGATTTGCTCTATTAATGTAACATTTCAGAGGGCATAGAACTTGGCAAATTCTTCCATACAGACTTTTAAAAAGTATAGAAAATCATCTACAAAATTAAATTGAATTTAACAGTTTGCAAAATTCTGGATAGTTTGAAATGGCATGTTAATAGGGTAAATCTAGACTCAAGTGGAATTTTATCCCCAATAATCTGTATTAGAAGTATAAATTTTCTCCGTATTAAGCAATTTTACTCTGTCTGAATTTTGTCAGTAATTCTTATAACATACAAACCAGTAAAAAATCTTTTATTAATAATTATTTTATTTGTTATCTAATTTTTACTTAGATTGAATGAGAAACCATTGAATGGTAGTAAAATGTTAAATCTTATTTAGCATAAAAAGTCAGAGAGATAACATTTGGAACCTGGCATTATTCATTGTAAAACATTGGAAATTAGTTAAGTGGCCAGGATTCCTGAATTGTAAGAAATGCACCATTTGTAAGCATTACTGAAATTGTATCAGCCAGAGTCAATACACATACAGTAATAAGTACTTCACATTTCTAATGCAACAAATGAGGCAATAAAGTAATTAAAAAATGGAAATAGTCCATGAATACAGACGTGGATTATGGATTTCAAAGTGGTAATGGCTGAATGGCAAACTCAGAAAAGGCGAGTTTTCAGATGAGTGCAGCCAGTCTTGATGGACATGAGAATACAGTAATGATGTGAGATTTTTGATGGGGATTTTCCTCCACAAGTTGGAAAAGAGACACTAAATGTGGAACTACATGATGGGCAGCATCAATACCATCTCCGTCATTAAGAAGACCAGAGGTCAGAAACAACTCCGCAACTTAAAGACAAGCACAATTGTAAAGGAACACTGTTGCACAGTAAGTCATACTGTATATGTAAGGGTAAAAATACGTTTTAAATAATATACATTAAGAACCTGTATTAGCAGAAACATGCTTAGCAATAATGTAAAGAGTGTAAATAACAAAGGTGTGCATATCACAATGATCATATTATAAATGACAGTGAATGTACTGCAGTAGGAGTTTTACAGGCACAAAATCACTGTATCTCAATCCTGCTCATGAAACTGGCACCCAACCAGAGGGCAACAGGTGGTGGACCTTACACTCCAAACAACGGCTGCCAAATGAGGAAGTCACAGTCAAACGCTTCAGGAAGGAAACACCTTGGAAGGCATGGGAATGTGAGATGTGTAGAGAAATATATTATTTCTAAGACTAATATTATTCAGATGCATGAATTGCATAATATGACATAAGAATGTATGTATAAATACTGATTGTGCATAAGTTCATCAGAAGCCAAGTAATCACAAGGTTGCAGTTGTATCAGCGAAGAATCAAAGTGTAATGCAGAACCCAAATGAATTTGCATTTTACTGTTAACATATCATCTGCTCTCTTCACAGACAGAACAAGGAGAATCCATTGAAGTGTCTCCTGCACTGCAGGAAAACCACATATCAAAGCACAAACTATCTCCATCCATTCTTAAAGCAAGTGCGGGTACAGATACCTAAATTGTGGGAGGTTTTGATATTGCTAGAGAAGAACTGGATGAGACAAGTAGACAAAACTACAAGTGGCAGAAAGGGGGCAATGAATGAGCAGTTAGTAAAGGGCAGTAATGCTAGTAAAGAAACACGCTACTCCCCTAACTGATTTGGATAACAATATAAACCCGGTTTAGAACAGAGCATCATGCATCAAAACTATGTTGCAGAGTACCTTACCTTCTATACAACACCATTAAAAAGTTTACTGGGTCATTTGGAGCAGTTTAACCCTCAAATATCTAGTGCCATGTCTAGTGGAACAGAGTATTAGTTGGCTTCACTGCAGTCTTCCATTAAGGACGCGGTAACAACAGTATCTGGAGTGGAGACCTCTTTACTCAGATCAGAGATATTATAATAATAATAATAATCTTTACATTTGGTAGGATGCCTTTCACATCAAGTCTCAAAGCACTTCATATAACAACAACAACAACAAAAAATTGTATTTATATAGCATCCTTCATGCAGGTTAGTGTCCACTGTATGTTTTGTGGGCGAACGAGGCAGTCAATTTGCTCACAGCAGTGTCCCACAAACAACAACAACTTGTATTTATATAGCACCCTTCACGAATGGTAGCGTCCCAGAGCACAACAGTCATGAGGTGAACAGGATTATAACAGGAAGGGAGTTTCTCCCGTTATCTTGGACAACAATCCTCCATATGAAATTGATCATTCAGTTAATGGCTTTTTGTGGGTGGTTTCTACGTTCACCTACAAAACACACAGTGATTGCACTTTACAGTAAAATTCGGTGAATCGCTTTGAGCCCTCCTCCTGTGTGAAAGATATTATATAAAATGCAAGGATTATTATTATTATTAATACCTCGTCAATACTCTCTTGTGTTGCTATAGAAACATTGAGGACAAAACTGCAAGATGTAGTCAAGATCAAATTTAGCTTTTTGGAAAACAGTCGTGGGTAACCATGATAGAGTGATTTCAAAAGCAAACCCATCAGTAGGTATCTTCACAAGATGGCCTCCAGCACTGGAATGTGTGGAGTAGGATTTGGTTGACATTCATGTCAGTGAGATTTCTGTAACATCGCATAGCCTTACACCAGCGTGGGGAGCCATGGCCACGTGAAAATCAATGGTTCCAACATTGCAAAATGCCTTTCATTTGCAAATTCATTTGGAATGGCTAACAGGTTCAATGTGTAAAGGGAATACACTGCAGTTGATTTGAAAGGATTTAAAGTCAATATTGACAGAAGCATACCAGTGGAGAATATACAACCAGAATGGGTAGTGACACTAAAGTAAGAATAAGCTGAGTCAAGTTACTTGGGATAATTAAACCAAATGGTAAGGGAATGTAGACCTTTCCTGTTTATTGCCAAATGCCTTATTTATATAAACCAAAGCTGTTATTGTTTTCATTATGATCGTTACTCCTATTTCATACTCCTTAATAGTGTTGACTCGTTTAACCACATGGGTTAAGGTCTCATAATTTTCCTGCAGTGTGATTTTATTGCTTGCTTAAAAATTGGCTAAAATTGTTAGAAAACTGACCTCCCATTGGCTGCTGTTTCTAGAAAGCTAAAGTCTCTTTAATCTTCATAGCTCCCCCACCCCCTTCCTTAACTTGTAGTCAGTCATTTTTCTCTTTTTTAACCTTTTAATGCCAGTAAATATCTTTTGTGGTGTGGTGACTAGGTTTATCAGATGAGGTTGGACCAATTTCCTGTAGAATCATAGCATAATTTCTCTAAACTTATATTCTACTGCTCACTCTTTACCCCCAACCTCACCAGGCTCCACTAGTTGCCAGTCTTTCAAGATCCTCACTCTGCCCTTCAAATCCATTCATGAACTTGATTCACCTTACCTTTGCAATCTCAGGCCATATTCTCCTGCCTATACGCTATATTCCGCCACCACTGGTCTATTGCTTGCTTTTCACTATCCTGCTGTCGGTGGTGGTACATTCATGCTGGTGAACAGAAACAATTCTCATTTTTTTTGGCCCCAGTATCAGCAGGAAGCACTCCAAAGCATAGTTATAGTGCAAATTAGATCAACAATAAAGCTCTTTCTGCACTTGGGTACAGGGTGCAATATATCCAACAACAAAGGAGAATTTGTTAGTCCATGAATGTACCATTTCATTTCCACTATACTCAACCTTATGGCCTCTCTGAGATTGTCATTTAAGTGCCAAATTGCAGGCAGTTTTGTGCTGTGGACTAACACCCACTGGGTACTGGCTTGGATCAGATCAAACCCATTTCACACAGGGTTGTTGTAGGCCATATCAGTCTCAGCTACATTTGACCAGGTCACAAGGTGAAAGGAGAACATGCTACCTTATTATGTCAGCTAGGCTTCACAAAATACTTTAGACTGTTTAAAAAATTATAGTATTTTGTATTTTCAATATTGGATGAATTTAGAAGTAACTTGACGTCTTTCAATATCATGACACCATACTGCAGTTAATGTTAGTGGGATGAACTTTCTAGCTGAATTGAAAATGATGACTTTAAGGGGTGTTGAAATAATCTGATGTAAAATGCCATCCATTTCCTGATTCACAATTTGCATCACCTTAAACCTCACATATATCTGCACATTTATCAGTCTGTAAATGACCCTTTGCTGATCACTTTATTTCCCTTTGTTTTTACTTCTGGATCCTGTCAACAGCCTTACAAACCTACAGCAAGATGACCATCCTACAAGACAAGAGTAAAATTAATTTGATGCCATGTGATCATCAAAGGTAGAATTTAATTCAATATATTTATAAACCGCATCTTTTACCAATATAGGCAATAAAATAATAAAATACTTATTTAAATAAATATACTGTGACTTTGTTGCAGGTTTTTAATTATGGATATTTTACACATTAATGAAAGATTTTCAAATCAATTATTTGATGTGTTCTTCAGGCCGTCTTATTTTTACATTTCTATCGGAAGTTCTCCCTGAAGTGCCAAATTTTAATAATGAAGCACTTGGAGAACAATTGAATCAAAGCCTTTTTATTGTAACTGTATATAAAATGCCTTTAGAAAAACAAAAGGTTTGCTGTGTTCATTCAGCAATCCAAAATAGAATGTATAAATTTTGAGTATATTACAATCTTTATTTTTTACCTCACTGGGTATCAAGGGCAAGACATGAACATGGATTCAGAATTGGCTGAAGGGAAGGAAGCAGCGAGACTTTGTTAGGGAATCTAGGGCAAAATTGGGGAGGTATTAAGAAGTCTGTCCTGTCCTGTGACCTTATATATATTAATGACCTGGATTTGCAATTCTAGTCTTAACTTTTCAGAAGACACAAAGTTAGGGAAAACTGGAATGAGAGGAGGCAGCAAAGTTCATACAAAGTGATCTTGAGAGGGTATTCACAAGCATTGATCACTGGCAATGATGTTTAATACAACAACAACAATAAAAACAAAATTACATTTGTATAGCGCCTTTCGCATCGGAAAGACGTCCCAAGGCGCTGGACAGACAGAGTTGCGGACCCGAGCTGCGGGTCGGGTGGGGGAGGGTGGAGGGCAGGGGGGAACAACAACAAGATTACATTTGTATAGCGCCTTTCACGTCAGGAGGACGTCCCAAGATGCTGGACAGTGTACAGCATTTCAGACCCGAGCTGGGATCAAGGGGGGAGAAGAGAGGGGAGAGGAAAGGGGGGTGGCCGATGGCATGGTCAAAGAGGAGGGTCTTGAGGCGGGACTTGAAGAGGCTAAGGAGGGGGTGAGGCGGAGTGATTGGGGGATGGAATTCCAGAGGTTGGGGGTAGAGTGGCTGAAGGCTCTCCCACCAATGGTGGGGCGGGTGGGTCGGGGGACGTGGAGCAGGCCAGAGCCGACTGAGCGGAGGGAGCGGGCGGGTTGGTAGGGGGTTAGGAGGTCACAGAGGTAGGGTGGGGCAAGGCCATGGAGGGCTTTGTAGGTGAGGACCAGGATCTTGAACTGGATCCTCTGAAGGATAGGGAGCCAGTGGAGTCAGATGAGAATGGGGGAGATGGGATCACGGAGTTTGGTGCGGGAGAGGACACGGGCTGCAGAGTTCTGGATTATCTGCAGCCTGTGGAGGGAGGAGTTGGGAAGGCCGACAAGCAGGGCATTTGCATAGTCGAGCCTGGAGGTGATGAAGGCATGAATAAGAGTATCAGCAGCTGAGCAGGGAGATCAAAAGCACGGTCGAAAAGGAGTGTCTTGAGGTGGGTCTTGAAGGTGGTGAGGGAGGGGGTGAGGCGGAGGGATGGAGTTCCAGAGAGTGGGGGCAGAGTAGTGGAAGGCCTGGCCACCAATAGTGTGGCGAGCAAGGCGGGGGACGTGAAGCAGGCCTACTGAGTGGAGGGAGCAAACAGGATGGTAGGGGGTTAGGAGGTCAGAGAGGTAGGGGAGAGCAAGACCGTGGAGGGCTTTGAAGATGGGGACCAGGATCTTGAACTGTATCTGTGTGATGGGAAGCCAGTGGAGTTGGGCGAGGATGGGAGTGATAGGGCCGCAGAGCCTAGTACGGGAGAGGACAAGGGCTGCAGAGTTCTCGATGCTCTGCAGCCTGTGGAGGGAGGAGTTGGGGAGGCCGACAAGCAGGGCGTTTTCATAGTTAAGTCTCAGTGTAGTGAAAGCATGTATAAGAGTTTCGGTGGCCTGTGGTCTGAGACAGTGTCGGAGCCGGGCGACGTTGCGGAGGTGAGGGAAGGCAGATAAATGCAAGGTTCTCCAAGTACTCATTGGATGGGATGCAAGTTGGCAAGGCAGAAGCTGAAGATATCTAGGCATGTTAATTGATTGATCATTAGTTGACTGACTGACAACAGTGTGAGACAGTAAAAAATAAGGCAAACAGGATGCTGGCCTATGTTGCCAAATCAATTGAGTATAGATCCATAGATGTCAGACTCAAGCTATACAGTGCTCTAGTCAGGCCAAACCTACACTACTTAATACAGTCTAGCTGGCTGCCATGACATAAGGTGGTTGCCCAGGCCATAAAGATAGTGCAGAGGAGAACTATAATAATAATAATAATCCTTGCTTTTGATATAGCATCTTATCACATCTTCAAGATGTCTCAAAGCGCTTCACAGAATATATTGTAAACTGAATTGATTATATATTTTGTGGGCGAAATGTGGCAGCAATTGTGCACAGCTGTGTCCCACAAATAGTCATGGATTGAGTGACCAAATTATTTTTTTTAAAAGGAATTATTACCTCCGGAAAAGCGATCCGCCAATTGACTAACAAACAGGTTCCTACTTACTGCTAGGTAAACAGAGGCATGTGGAGTAAGGAAACTTGCCCAACATTTTGCCCTGCCTGGAAGATGACCCTCAATGCTAGAGGAATGAGCAATGAGCAACAATCAGAAAAGCTATAGGGCTTTTCAATCTTGAAAGGAGACCTCACAGAGAGTACCTTATAGAGGCATATAAAATTTTAAATAAGATTGAAAAGGTAAACCCAGATCAATACTTTAGGATGTACCAAGGCAGTAGAACCAAAGTAGGCTTAGAGATGCAAAGGGCAATTTCAGGCCATACACCAGGAAGTATTTCTTTACCTAGAGGGTAATTAATAACTGAAACAGGTTGTCAGGAAGGATGATTGAGGCCAGAACATGGGCCTCATTTAAAAACAGCTTGAGGCTGTGATGGGAAGCTGGTATTGTGGGTGTTCTTCAAGAATTAAATTAAATGGGCCAAAAGGTGGTCATCCAAACTAATCTTGTGATCATTTAATCTGGTGAATATCAACAGAATGAACCTTTTTTTGTGGCTTTTGGGAGGAGTAGTGTTAATGGATTGAACTTTCTTTCTCTTTGTGAACTTGATGACTTAAAGGGGGCTGAAATAATCTGATGAAAAATGCCATCCATTTCCTGATTCACAAACTGAAGTCTCAAACCTCACATATTTCCTCACCTTTATCAGTCTGAAAATTGGCAGTCACTGATCATTCTTATTTCCCATTTGTTTTTACATCTGGATCCTGTCAACGGCTTTAGAAACCTACGGCAAGGTGAACATCCCACAAGACAAGAGTGAAATTGACTCACGGCCTCAACATCAGTGTGAGATTATAGAAGATACTGTATTGATATTGAATAAACGTATCCTGAAAACAATTGACTTTCAGTTTCATGGTTTGTTTTTTAATCAAGGACACAGTGTGTGGTAGCAAAAAAGCTCTGTTTTGGTTGTGATCTAAAAATGTGTCACTGCAGTGAATTCCAGTTCATATTTTGGATATGAAAATGATTCACAATTGATTTCTGGGGAGAAATTGTACCTGGGTCTAGATTTACTCTATTTATTTGGTATTTTAGAGAACAGATTTGGCAAATTGTTGAACTTAGTCTTAACTTTGAAGTCGCTTTTCTGTAATTCTGAAAATAACTTACAATTCTTGTCACTTGGCAATAATTATCACATTGAACAATTATAAACCCTGTAAATTTATCTACAATATTTCTTAATCCCAATTTCAAATGAGTATCCCCTGCATTATTATTACATTTCCATTCAATAGCCAACTCACCACAAGATAACGCAAATGTGAAATCCGCTCAAAGTTGTCCAATCAGTTTATTGTGCAGAGGAGCAGTAGATAGGAGCACTGGCTGTTGCAGATATTGTGGTTATCGTGTAAATATAGAACACTTTTAACAATGAGGAGGCAGAAATTGATAACAATTCTCTGACCAATTCAGGACACAGAGCAGAACAATTGTACAAGTACATTTGATAGCTTCCCAAATTGAATGACAAAGTTATGCTTTGCTGTTTGAGTCTTGGAATTAAGTCCATTGGCCTACTTTAGCTGTAATTCAAAACTGTCATAAATCAATACTTCATTACATACCTGGAAAGAATGTAATTCATCATACTAAAACATATCGTAGTTTCTATTTTTTTAGAACCAGTCATCTTAAATGACACAAGGCGATTTTACAGACTCGTCGATAAAGATTGTTTCTGTTTCATGGAGTAACGTTGTTTGACAGTGTTTATTTAAAACAAAGGCAAAGTTATAAGAAGCCTGAGATGAATCTGGAAAATGTATATGTTTCACATCTGATAGGCTTCAGTTTGGACATGTGAGGGGCCAGGGCTGCAACGTGAGCTGGGTTGAGTACTGAAGATAGAGCTGCAACTTATAGAACACACTGCAATAAACCAATGCTTAATGTTTGCCTCAGGTACTGACAAAAATTGACAAAAGTAATCAATTTACAGCAAATAAATAAATCTCTCTAACTCCTCTCAGCACTCTCCTGCTACACAGCTGTCTAATTGCTTTCTGAGCAGATAATATAGTCACTTCACCAGCCCAATTTAACTGCTTCTAACAGAAAGCTCAAATATGACATTCTCCATAGAAAGTTAAACAGTCTGACAGGCCTGTTTTGACTTTCCCACACTCCCATGTGGTCAAAATGGATAGCTTGAAGGAGTCCTTTCAATGCAAAGTGCTGTGTGAAAAAGATAGCTTTAAAAACGTATCTCATGTCGGAGGCAACATGGTGGGACTGAGCAGCAGTTGCATATACTAACTACTGAGTCACAGTGTCTCCTGCCAGTAACCAGCAGTATGGCACATCAACCAACAGGAACTCCTCTACAATGCAATATACAGTACTTCCAGGAGGAGGAACTATTTGGTACACGTTTTGCTAATATTGTGTTAGATTCCCATATATTATTGGGTTGTGAATTTCACCTTCTTACCTATTGCTACAATTTTCTCCTGGCACTAGGGAGCAGCTCTGTTGTGTCAAGGAGTTGTTCTGTAAGGAATCATTGAAATCAGCACATTGGAACTGGAGTTCAGGAGTAAACTTCCGCAGGTTGTAACATCTGGTCCCAAATGCTATTTTTCAGCTTTCCCTGAGGATCCACCTGGTGATTTGTCTATAAATGGGTACAAAAGTATTCCCCTTTTACCATGTACTATCCATCATGTTGAAGGTCTACCATATTTTGCTCTGAGTAAAACAAACTTTATGTTGGCATGGTGCCCAAAACTTTAAAAGAATCTCAGAAAACAAGTTTTAGGCCATGTTATTTTCCAACAATGTTTTTATCACACAGTCAGTGGAGACCTTCACGTATGCTATTGGTCTCTCCATGTTTGAAGGATAGGTCTGGATTTATTTACGGTGAACATTAATCTTTTAAATTAAACCCAATGGGACAATCCAATGTAGTTTTAATGAAAAAAATCTTGCAAGTTTAGTTTTTGCCGTTTCATTGGCTATCCAAAACGGCATTGACAGCAGTGTACAATGCCAACGACAGAAAACTGAGAATCTACATTTTATAGAACCTTAAAGTGATTCACAGATAATTACTGTCAAATGTATTACTGTCAAATGTATAGCAATGGTCTTGGAGTGCTGGTGTCACACTTACAGCAAGGTTGCACAGACAGCCATGACGTGAATGACCATTTTATCAGGAGAATTTATTTGAACTAACCTCCTTGGAGGAGAGAGGTAAACAGGGTTTCATTGGGGGTGAGCTAGATCCAAGGTGATGTGTCTGTCAACAGAATATTGGAACCAAGTTGCTGTGAGCAGTAATTGGTATCCCAAATCCTATCCACTCTTTTGCTAAGATTTCCACTCTACCTTCATCAACTTCCTTCAATTCACACTTCCTCAATCGATGTAAGTTCATTCCTTTCAGGGAAATGACTGAATCAACAAATCTTTATCTTCTTCATGTCTTTTATGGCACAATGATAATCTTAGTTTCTGTTTGTATTTCACAACTTTAACCAACACCTAGTATAAGATGGACTTGAGCAGATTTAAAGGGTAGTTAGGAGGGAATGCTTTTCGCAGAGGGAGGTGGAAGGAGGTGGAACTTAGTGCCAGAAGTTGTGATTGAAGAAGAAAGCATCATTGTATTTAACAAGAAACTTGATGTATACATGAAGGACAGGAGAATAGAGTCACGTAGGAGAGAAGGTTAGGATGGATGAGTGGGCTCATGTGGAGTATGAACACCAGCACGGAGTAGTTGGGCCAAATTGCCTGTTTCTGTGCTGAAACATTCTATGTAATTCTATGTAACTATTACTTGCTTACCTTTAATGCCTCCTCTCTTACTACTGTATCTGATCCTCTTACGACTAAAAGGAACACTAGAGTTACATTGCATGTCAAAGACAGTAAACAGCAAATTGTTAAGCTATTGGTGAAGTGAGTGGTTGAATGTTCTTCAACTTGTCTGTCAGCCAGGTCATTTATATAACAATGAAGGGTGAAGAAACGTTCCCATAATTGGATGTCTTACTTTTAGTAATGTATTACTAAATGTACTAATGTACTACTTACTGGCACCTTAGGGACAGCTTTACTGCAGTGGTGCAAGCCCTGTGGGACTGGATACTGCAGTTACCACTCACCAGAATGCAGTGTGACAGGATTAATAGCAAGTAAAATAAAGCAAATCTTTGTCGTATAAGAACTTAAAAATAAATGTTTTGTCCAAATATGTTTTTTCCAGCTTCTACAGTTTTAATTGTTCAGCAATTATGGCTGTTTTTTTATATATATATATATATAAATCTTGAATTCTAATATTTTTTTAGCTTAAAAATTAATGTTTTTACAGATAAGGTCCGTTAGAGATGTAAACATTAAACTATAAGTCTAAGAGACAGGAACAAGAGTTTATTTCTTACTGGATAATTTACGACACTCGCAAACTCCTACAATTGTCACAGCAATTTAAGCAGAAAATATATCATAACCATTAACCATCACACATCTGAAATGATTTATTGTGCAAGAAAAAGAAAGGTTGTTTCCCAAGTACATTAAGGTGAGTTATTATTGCCCAAGGTATTAGAAACATTGATTTTGCATTAAAGGAAGAATACCATAAATGTGGTTCATAAAAAGTGGCCATTAAAATCTGAAGCTATATCCTTAATTCTCCTGCATAGACGTCCTGTGATGAAGTGAAGTCATTCAACTGCAGATACTCTGTTTGCTGAAAACTAGCAGTTCTTCAGAAAGCACAGGAGACTGTGTTGGTGGCAGAATTTAAATAACAGTTTAAAATAAACAGAAATGTGATTAAGGAAGATGCAAGGATCAATTTTAAACAGATAGAAATGTCATTAAAGAAGAGCAGACCTGTATAAAACTGGTGACATCAATATGTTTTGTGCATTGGGCCACAATCCAGGAAAGCTAGATTTAGAAAGAGAACACAATAGCTAATAATTTACATTTTTTTAAAGAGAATTGTTTCTCTTTCAACAGTCTCACAGCTGATTCCATAAACCAGCTTTCTCATCCCCTGGAGCCCCGTGACATGTCAACGTCCGATCTTGCAAACTACTCAAAACCCTGGGCGAACAACGAACACTGGAAGTATACATACTACATCCATTCTCCCAAGCCTTTTGTAAATAAAGAAATGACATAGAACCATAGAAATTTACAGCACAGAAGAAGGACGTTTGGCCCATTGTCAGTGCTGGCTGTTTTAAAGAGGATGGACAGCGTTTTATAGACTAAAATTAATTCTAGGTTATTTATGGTGGCAGTTGAAACAATGGCATGCTGTGGTATGACTTAATCATTTTCAGACTGCATAAAATTATTTCTTGACCTTTTTCAGAGTGTTCTCTTTTCAACATCCAATGGAATCAGAATCTCTATGGCCATGATACCACGGTTAATGATGAATGCTGGAGTCTGTTCAATTCTTAGCTGAGCTGCTATCCTGGACATGGTTCTAGCTTAGTGGTGGCCAATTTTTCTGAGGTGTGCCAGAGTGTGAGCCCAAGACGTATCGCCCTGCCAGTACAAGATATATAATAAAATTAAAAAGAAAAAGAAAATTATTACTGGAAAAGAAAGATGTATTTA